AAAGATAATAAAAAGTGTTTTTATTACCTTCTCGAGCTGCTTTCAAATCTAGCAATAAATTTTCTCCAAGCTTCCTACCGTGCTTTGCGAACCCAAGGTACAAAATGAAGCTGGAAATTGTTTTATTACCTCATCGAGTTACCTACCCAGCCTGCGTGCCCATTTGGGTACTATTGTTTACTATAGTGTCTCCTGTCTAAACTACAGAGCTTCCAACTCACGTCGGGACCACTTATCTTGTTTGCGGGTCCACTATCACGTATGTTTTTATTTTTTTGGCAGCTTGCTTAGCCTGCAACCCAGTAGAAATATATGTTAATATTTTTTTCAATGTAAAAATGTTTTTTCTTACTTCTCTGAGCTGCTTGCAAGCTCACCAAGGTGTTGCTATTTGGTCCAGGACCGTTACCTAGCCTGCGAGTCCTTAATGGTCGGGATACGGTCGATACTCTCATCGATGGGCTCTTCGTGAATGGGTTCAAGCTCCCTCCATGAACGGTTACCTCATATCGGCCCTAGTTGCGGCCTTGTGTCCCTTGCATTGGGGGGCCCCTCCTTAGAGGTGCCTTCATCCAGCTTGTGGAGTGCTGAGTCAGGTAATATGATTATTTGCTTGAGTGCTCGGGTCAACGGCCTGCAATCGAGCCAGGCGGGGATGCGCCTTCCACTACTATTGGGCAGCCCACTCGTAATGACGTTAGATATATCCTTGACTAAAGATTGGGCGCTAGGTCTGACTCCCTAGAGACCTAGGTTGGTTTCGCCGACGGTAGCGTATCCTCCGACGACTATATTACCAATTGGACCTCCCACATTCTTTGGGTGGAGAACTGACCCTCGCGAACCGGACCGACCCCGTCTTGCCTGCTAAGGCGTTCTTGTAAGCCCCAGGAATGTTCATTTTGTGACTCGGCCATTTTGGTGTATCTTGGTTTTGATTGCGTAAAGGGAACAAGGGTAAGACGGGTAGAAATTATGAACGTGTGCTTTTGTAGCGTTCTCCACAAACGGCGACACAACGCCAATGATGATTTTATCGAGACCGGATCCACCATAAACCGGGGGTAGGAAATACTAGTATTATTGATCGAGGCATTAGACCTAAAATGGTATATACAAAGCCCGAGATATTGGTCCAAATAATACAAGCTATAGCTCAAATAATAGACTAATACAAGCTATAGCTCAAATAGTAGACTATAAATAATGAGTTATACTACATGGACTCCCAATTCATACTCCCTAAATTTTACTCCTTGATGTGGCAGGCACTGATAGGCTACATTTTACATGTGGGACCCAATATAAGTGTCTACATCAAAATTTTGTGTGTGAGAGTAAAAGTTGGAAGTAGAGAATGAGAGTACATAAAGTATATTTTTCATAAATAATAATGTAGCTATTGGGAATCGAACCTTGGTGTATGGTTAAAGGTTATGACCACAAGCCACTAGATCAAGTGAGGGGATTTAGTGAACCACTAGATGATATCTTAAGAGGAATTAAGGGTGCCTTATATAGAGTAGAGGGCCCGGATGATTGACAAATATACGCCATTGGCTAGTCTTCATTCTTGGCCACACATGTGTACCTCCACTACCTTGCTTCCAGCGTACTTCACATGCATAACTAGAGCTTCCTGTCCTTAAATACATGGAATAAGTAATAACTTGATGGGTTGGAGTGTGTATTGCTTTAGGGAAGTTGCAGGTTCTATACTCCTTGGTGGTACTTATGTTATTTTTTGAATATCAAACAAATTTTATATCTATTAATCAATTATAAAGAGTCTAATGCAATTTATTCAAATCTAGTCATGCAAAATACATATTTGATTGTTTATGTTATTCTTGAATTTTGTTTTTTTTTTTTTTTGTTTTTTTTTTTTGTTTTTTTTTTTTTGAGTACTATCAACTCTATTACAATGTAGTATATTTTCAATATACTTTATTGATCTGTTGTAGCTCAAAGAGTCAATTCCCCACTACCGGGGTTCGATCTTGAATTTTGTTTTAAAATTTATAATTTGCATACCTATTTTTGAATAATTGATTTTTAGGGAGTATGTACCTAATAATTTATCGTGGCATCCTTGATTGGTCACGATATTCTTTTCAAAACTCATTTAGTCAAACCCACAACACAATCTTTCTAATATGATTTACCTCTCGACTATTACACATTAGCATACGATTTACTCATTACAAGCAGGGACGGAGCCAGGAATTTTGTTGAGGGTGGGGGGGGGGGGGGGGGGGGCGAAATAGGGACGGGGGATTCACAAATTTTTTTCAAAGGCGAAGCATTAAAATAAAAGAGATATTTAAAAATAAATAAATAAATTAAATAAGAAATATAGGTGTAAATATTATTGGATATGGGCGAAAAATAAAACAAATCGAAACTTTATAAAAATATTCATAACAAAATATGAAACATAATTAATTTGATAAAATAATTCAAATATTAAAAAACTATTAAAACGTGATTGTGTTAAAGTCATAGGGAAGGAGTCAAAAAACTATATATGATTCAAATGCCTAACCTTTATTATAACCAAATGCATGCTCTACCAACTAATCTAACTCATTTCTTATGAACAATTAACAGTTTTTATATACTAATACTAAAAAATGTACTATATATACATATATACATACAAAAATTATATATGAGGTAGGGGTAGGGGTAGGGGTAGAGGTAGGGGTAGGGATAGGGATAGGGTAGGCGTGGGGGTGGGGTGAGGGGGAGCAGCTGACCCCCCTGCCCCCCTTTGCCTCCGTCTATGATTATAAGTACGATTTACCTCTTATGTGTGATTTACGAGCTATTACATGTACCCCATGCAAATAATAGGAATGATACAAGATTTTTAGCTTCAAACTAATTGTTCCGCGAGGGTTAGTCAAGTCCAAGAGGATTCTACTATATTATTGTGATGTTACATTTATATGATTGGCACTCTTAGAAGTCATGTGGCTTCTATTCATTAGAAAATGAGCCTAGTGCATGTACAATTGTTGTAATTAGTTCTATACCTATGTACAATTTAATGCCATAAATTAATTTTGAATACAAGCCACCATTAATTTTGCATGTACTTCTATGATGTGAACATAGGTTATATGGAGTAACTAATTAGGCACTAAATGTAATAATTACAAAATAATAAAAATAAAAGGTTTGGACCCAAAAAGTAAATTAAATTTTATTTACATATTGCACAAATATATGTATCTATCAAATACTACTAATTAACTAAATTGATTGGCGTGAGTGATCATACACTCTCATTTCTTAAGAGAAATTAATATGACCAACACTGACTGTTCTATGAGAGTTTTAATCAAACTTCATTTGAGATAAGGCAAAAACTTGTGTGAGACCGTATCACGGATCCTTATCCGTGAGACTAGTCGGGTCAAGATGAAATGTAATACTTATACTAGATTACTAGCAAATATAATACTAAATTGGGAATAAAATATTTATTATTTATATGAAAAAATGTAATACTTTCACATATTGATGTAAAAGTATTACATTTTTCATAATATATATATATATATATATATATATATATATATTTTATAAATAACAAGCACTTGCCAACATTACTTATAAGGAAAAATATAATATTTTTGATGAAAAAAGTAATACTTTTACATCAAAATATAAAAGTATTACATTTGTCACCAAAAGTATTACGTTTTTCCTTATAAGTAACAAATACTGTTGATGTGGTAAATTCTACTGGGTACACATATTCGTATGTCTTATGAAGTAATAAATTTGGATATAACGGCTCGGGCGTAATACGACCGAAGGTCTGAGGTTCTCGAGCCTTTCAGTAGTCTCGTGAGAGAGCCCAAAGTTCTCTTTACAAGCAATTAGTGGGGTATTTATAGGAGATAGGATGGGACATATGCCGGGAGGACGACATATGCGCCACGTGTCCTCCATGCACTCGGTGGTCTCGACGGTTATGGGGAAGGTGTCCACGTGTCTAATAACATCTGTCTAGCCAATAGCTATCGAACTTGGTTATCTATAGACATCTTTAAAGGCTTATAGTACGGGTTCGGGGCCCCGAGCGACCTTCCAGGTCGGAACTGAGCATAAAAAGCCAAGAGCAGAAGCTCACTAAGCCAATTGGTGGCCTAACTCCCAGGTCGGGTCGATCGAGTGCTCTTCTTAGGTCGGATCAGAGCAATAAGGGTCCTCTACTACTTATAGATTCGGATCCGAGCAGGCGTATAATACATACGGGGTCGGTATGCCGGGGTATATTTCCTATCAACTTTATTCTTAATTAGTATTACATTTTTCAGTATAAGTATTAAATTTGCATATTGACCAGACTCGACCCGTCTCACGAATAATGATATGTGAGACTGTCACACTTGTGTGCGACTCTTGAGATAAATATTTTAGTGCATGTTAAAAATATAAACAAAATAAATTTTAAATTGCTATGACTTATGAGCAATAACAATTTATACTTTCCCTATAGAGTTTTTTGCACTTTTGGTCCCACGACTACAGTGGCACTATTAGAATTGATCCACGACTTTCAAACCTTGTTATTTTAGTCCACGACTATTGTTTTTTTTTTTTTTTGGCAAAAATGGTCCTTCCGTTCACTTTTCCGTCAAAATTTCACTGGAGGAAAATTTCTTCAGTTTTAGGACTAAAATTGCTAAATTTTTCTAGTACGAAAAGTGCAGAATATGCTTTTATATAAAGTGTATTGCAAACCTGGAGTATTGATGTTGTTATTGCAAGCGAAATTTCAAATTTAGCCCTCTTAAAAATGAAGAAAATTTCTTTCGATGGAATTTTGACAAAAAAGTGGCCGGAAAGACCATTTTTGCCAAAAAACCAATAATCGTGAACTAAAATTGCAAGATTTGAAAGTTGTAGATCAATTGACACTATAGTCGTGGGACCAAAAGTGCAAAAAACTCTTTCCCTATAGGCAATAGTCACTAGTCAGCAATTACCAAACCCAATCCTAGAGTTGAAAAGAAAATGAGTGTGGGGGCGCTGCGAAGCCTCTTAATCCGTATCCTTAGTCCGCGCGCAGTAGCACTCTCAAGAACACGGTCGACTAGCTGTAAAGCCAGCAGAAGCATTCCTATTTCTCCGGCGCCGGCTAGTAGAGGAATGGTGACTTTGGTGGTTGCCACCACCACCGACCCGGCATCCATTGGCCCTGCCTCCGCCCTCTTGGCCATGCCCGGTTGGCACCCAGGACCGTCTATCCAGGTTTCTTTTCTCTTCTTAACCACGTTTATTTTTTCTGTATATTCACTTTTCTATTTGAAAGCATTTCATTTACTTTCATTAGAGAAGGTGAAAATAGGGAAAAGATGAAATTTTGTTAACTGGGTTGTCTCAACTCTCAATAATGACTATCTGTAAGATGGAATTCTAGTATTTTACTAATGTGGAAGTGTAATTTAATAATGGGAAAATTACACTTTTCGTTCTATATGGTAGTTGTAGAATTCGTAGCTATTTGTTGGTCGTCATCACTTTTCGTGCCTAAGCTATAATTGATGTGCTCACTTTTCGTACTTAAGCTATACTAACGTTTCAAATTTCATCCCTAATATTTTATTAGTAAAAGAACGGAATTTGCATCCTCAATTATAGCTTAGGAACGAAAACCGAGCACGATCAACAGGGACGAATTCTACAATTACCTTATAACTTAGGGACGAAATTATTCAAAAATATCTGCTTCTTTGTTAAGTTAGATTCATGTGGAGGTAAAAGGTAGAATCTTTTTATTCAGGCTGACTGAGACTCTAGGAGGGTGGGTGTTTTCAATGTTTCTTAATGCTGCTTATAGATTTTATGTATTTCTTTAGGATATGTCAAGTTTTGTGAATAAAGAAGTGAGGCTGTTGAAACATGATAAAAGCATTGTGAGGGAGGATGACTTAGATAAGCGTTGGGAGGAGGCAACAGGGGAGGAAGTTGATGAGGTTATATTTCTTAGCAAGCATACTGCAGCCTCAAACTGCCCTGCACTCACGGTCCATCCCATTGGTACAAACATCTTTCTTACATTTGGTCTGTTTGTCAATCGTGTGGAAATGAAAGAACTGGATTAGCTCATTGTTGATTTCAGAGTATTGGTGGGTTTTGTGTTCACTGAAATTTAGGTGTGCCTCACTTGAGGGAAGGGGAGAAACCACTGGCAGGTGGGAAGCCTGGATGGGCTGCACCACCTAATCCACGAATAGGGCCATGGTTGAGGCTGTTAAAGACTATTGCCGCTTCACATAATCTTACACCTGAATTTGAGGTAATATTTTTCTCTGGAGTGAGCTTTTTCTCATTTTATCTTTTCAAGAATAGCTGGTGTGTCCGCATGGGCAGCTCAAGTGGTCATAGAGGTGAAAGTTTGAAAGAATGACTAGGGATCGAGTCTCACCAGGGCAATGTGGGAGCAACCTCTCAAAGTGAGGGCGGCTCCTTGTGCGCAGTAAGCAAAGGTCTAGCCTCTGTGGTTCATGTTCAGTTGAGTTACCATGATTTACATCTTCCCAGATGCTCTGTCGGGCCGGGGTGTGGGGGGCCCTTAGGGTTGGGGTTCAACCTTTTGGAAAGAAGAATGGCTGGTGTATATTAATGACTATTCTATCCACTTTTTAAAAATAACTAAGTTTCCTTCTTGTATTGCATTATGGCATTTGTCATTTCGATTTCACTCAGCAGTTGTACTAATGGATATATGTAATGGAACCCTTCTGCGTTGCAATTTCTTGGAATAGGTCACGTTGGAAGTTACACATCATGGTCCTGTAACCAGTTCCCCGACTATGTTTGTAGAGATAGGTAATAGTTATTTTTGTCAAATGCTATCATGCAGCATTAAATCTCGGGTTTTAATACAGCATCTTAAATCTTTTATTCTTTGTCTTAATTAATATGCCGATTCTTAAGGCTGAGAGGAATGGTATTCTAAACTATTTTCTTCTTGTTTTCCTTTGATTTATAGTAATGTGTTGTTGAGAGAGCAAGAGAGAGAACCTTAAATCCGTTCGATCTGAATCTGTCTTCTATTTCTGTAGGCAGTACAGAAGAATATTGGAAGAGGCAGGATGCTGCACAAGCCATTGCTTTAGTTCGGTACCTTTTATAAGAGAATATATGTCTATGACTTGCACTTATTTTTCCATCTGTGTTTAAAATGAATCAAGTCTTCGTTACTACTTTCATTTGGTTGGGTAGAATCAACAGGACAGAGGGACTAAGCAATTCATCGTTGATTTTTTTTTTTTTTTTTTTTTTAATTTTGGTGTAAACCACGAGGTGTTCCGAGTCTTTCTCCGTCCGTCCTTTACGGTTTGGGTCCACCCAACTAATCCTCGTTCGCTCCGGGAGGCATGTGAGCAGGCCCAATTGTTGATTTGAATCAAATTGTTGCTTTATTTGTTGCTTCTTTTGGGGGGTTGTATATATACCCTTCTTTTTGTTTTAATTTCACATTGTCTTTCTTTTGGGTGGAGTATGAAGTGCATAATGACCATGCATTCTCTTTTTCTTTTCTTTTAAGCAAAAGTTATATATACCAAAACTATTTGACAGTTTCCACATTTGGTCTCTAACTATTAATTTTTTCACATTTGGTTTCACAACTTTTAAAATCTTGCCATATTTGGTCTTCTGGCCTAATTTTCGGTCACCAGTGACCAGATTTTAATTGAAAAATGTCATAAATTGACAACTTTGTCCATCAAGATAAGTCACTTGATTATTATGCACTCATGTTCAATAACATAGAGAAACAAATTTGGTCACTAGTGACCAGAAATTAGGCTGGAGGACCAAATGCAAAAAGGTTTTAAAAGTCGTGGGACTAAATGCGAAAATGGTCCAATAGTCGTAGGACCAAAAGTGAAAAACTCCTTTAACTTATGCCATCAACTAACTTCTCGGGCTTATTGGGTCAAGCAACGTCCCTTTTTTTTAACTGGTTATTTTCATAGACCATCAAGTTGGAAATAATTTCTTCAAAATGTAGAATATCAGCTGGTAGAAAGTGATGTTATTTATCTCTTCTTCTTTTTACTACCCTTTTTGTTAATTCAATTTTAACAGCTAGTTTGGCAAGGGCTGGGCCTTGGAGGTGGAGCTGCAGTGGGCAATTGGAGCAGGTCAAACTTCCTTCTAAGATTTAAGTTCTTAATCCGAAATCTAGATTGAAAAGTTGCTTAAGGTGATAGACTCACTCTTTCTATTTGGATGTGTTATACATGTCCATGAAGGGATAATTTGTCAAGGTTTAGTGTCGAGGATGAAGTTATACTTCCTCATGTATTCATGTTTGGGAGTGTTAAGAGTCCCACATTGAAAATATAAGAGAGAATATATGGGTTTATAAGATCATGGGTTAGACTAGCTAATTGGTTGAATTCAGTCTTTTAGTACCATTATAAATAAGAATAGGGTGGGGTGGGAGAGAACCAAGGAAAATTTTTAAAAATGAGTTTTTGAAAGCTAATGCAGTGTCCACATATCTCTCCTGGATTTCTTTTCCTTTTCTCATTTACTCTTTTAATCACATGATGCAGGAATAACAGCCAAAATAAAGTCCTTTTAGGAATTGGTGGTGGACATTATGCACCTCGGCATATGGATATAATTCTGTAAGTCTACAGATTCATGCTATTCTTGTACTGAAGGTTACAAATTCGACTCCCAGCGGGAGTAGCCTATTGGCCTTCTTGGTTTGAGCCCGTCAGCTATGGGCAACCTAGGCTGGTTGTCTTTTGTTGGCTAGGGTCACAAGGTGGGATTTATCCCGTGTGCACCCTCGGGTACTGGTTGTGGGTTTCCCTTGTCACCCAAAAAATTCCAAATGCTAGAGAAACTTTAGAGATTGTATATATGTTTTAGATAAAATTATAGTACTCTCATGTTAACCAACAGTCCAACATATATTGCCCGTTTGTGGCTGATCTCTTTGATAGAAAGCAAGGCATTTTACCATGAATTCCTTCTGTCATTTTAAATGTCAAGTATTATGTGAGAATATGTTGCTGTAATAGATTGGATTTTGAGTGCACTTCTATTTGTATGTGTCGATTTTAAACATAAACGAAATAAACAAGACATTAAAATTTCAGGAAAAATGATGTTTGGGTAGGGCATCTGCTCTCAGGATATTCATTGCCAATGGATGATCCAGGTCAATCTAAGGCACAGAACTCGGAGAGCGTGGGCGGGACCTGGAGACAAGCAATTAGAGTTGCATTCGAGGCTACAAAAGCGGCCTTTCCATGTGGAGAAGTGTTGGCACACCTTGACCACAAGTATGTTATTTCTCGCTATTAAGAGTCTTACATTGATAAAATAAGAGAGAACGTATGGGTTTATAAGGCCATGAGTTAGACTAGCTAATTAGTTGGACTCAAATCTTTTAGTGTGGTTTAACCCATGTGCATTATAGCCCAATTGGACATGGTATCAGAGCATATTCATTCCACTAAGAACATAAGAAAGCACTGAAAGCACGGTTTCTAGTTTGTAATTATTCTTAGTATTACGATATAGTCGTGCTTACCAAACATCAGGCACAAAGCTTTTTTTTTTTTGCATTACGGTTCATGAAATAATTTGCTTGGGTCTCTATGATTGATGCAGGAGTTTCAAAAGTTGGCAGAGAAATGCCATTTTGGGGTTCTTAACAGAGCAAAACATACAGGTTGGAAAGCCAGGCGACTTCTGCTGATCAACATTCCTGCTATGGAGTAGAGTTTATACTTAGTCTGCTTAGAGCTGTCAAAATGGGCTAGCCCGATCCATACAGGCTGGCCCGTCACGGGTTAAAAACCTCCAATCCGGCGCGTCTAAAAAACGGGTTAAACAGGCCCAATTCGGTGGGTTAAGCCCGTTTTAACAGCTCTAAGTCTGCTTAGTTGTTTCATGTAGCTGGGGAATCTAAATCAAAGAGCCTCTCTAAAAATCACATTGTATTTCACTATAGATTCTAGAGTCACACATTTAATGGAGAACATGTTTGAAATATTGATACCAAACTTGGGTATATAAATATATATGAGTGCCAATCATGTAAATGTATATTTAGATGAAATATAGTTCCCTCAATTAAAAAAATATTACATTACATACTATATTTTAATATATAATTAAGGAAAAACATATAAATTTTAATTTATATATACTATGATTCGAAGGATAATGATGTTTTAATTATAATCATAGCTTGCACTATTTTTTTTTAATAATAAAGTATTAGTTTATATTTATATTTGGAATAAGGGTTAAATAGGACACTCAACTGGTGCAATTCAACCCAAAGAAGGAGGAGCTTCCCAAATCATGCATGAAGGAGTAACTCTGCACACGGACACTTCCTTCGTTTCGGAGGAGCAACCGGCTGGATGCGGAGGTGTCATGCGTAACTAGATTGGTGATTGGATCAAAAGCTTCAGCTGCATGACAAGAGTTAGCAATGCAACAGAAGGGGAGCTATGAGCGATCTATCTCGGCCTAAAATTGGCCTGGGAGCTTGGGCAGAAAAAGATAAATGTCTTCACGGACTCACAGCAAGCGGTGCACTGGCTCACCGGGGAAACTGAACCCCTAGGTTACTGCGGGGATTTGGTCAGATGGTGCAAAGAATGGCTTAAAAAGATTGGATAGTTGTCATCTTACACACACCGCGTGAGAACAACACTGTGGCGAACGGACTCGCAAAGATGGCCTCAAGAAGCTTCCGTGACTGGATCGATTTCAATAGACCGCCCGAGTGTATTACAGAGTTCTTGAGTACGGACCGGGTGCGCTATGCTATAAACACCCAGACTTAGCAAGTGGTGCACTGGCTCACCGGCGAAACTGAACCCCTAGGTTACTGCGGGTATTTGGTCAGATGGTGCAAAGAATGGCTTAAAAAAGATTGGATAGTTGTCATCTTACACACACCGCGTGAGAACAACACTGTGGCGAACGGACTCGCAAAGATGGCCCCAAGAAGCTTCTGTGACTGGATCGATTTCAATAGACCGCCCGAGTGTATTACAGAGTTCTTGAGTACGGACCGGGTGCGCTATGCTATAGACACCCGGACTTAGCCTTGCTGGGTTTCCCCCACCCCTTTACCCCAAAAAACTGGTGCAATTCAACCCAAAAGTGACATGTTTACCTAAAAACATTCTGACATGGTGGTTACTGAATTTAAAAACATTTTTTAAATAATTTTAAATAAATATTTAAAAAAAAAAAAAACTCCTTCGTCTCTACCAGAGACAAAGGTGGCTTCGTCTTAGGCCGTCTTCATGGCCGGGGAGACGGCCCAAGACGAAGCTGCTCCTTTGTCTGATCTCCGCTGGAGACGAAGTTGCAGGCAACTAACTCTCAGGCCGTCTCCCCGGCCATGGAGACAACCTGAGACGAAGGTGGCTTCGTCTCAGGTAGGGGTGTGCAAAAACCGACCCACCCGAATTACCCGACCGACTCGAACCCGTTTAAGCTCTATTTGGGGCAATCCGAACCCGAACAGCATGAACCGAACCGATGGTACGAAAATAAGCCGGTTTGGAGGAGGCGGGTTGGGGCTTATAAATTCCCCCCCGAACCCGTCCGATTACCCGAATTAGGGTAAGGGTTCGTTTACCCTAAGGTATACGACGTCGTCCTAGCGATGTATATATGTGTTGCGTTCGATGGAAACCCTAGCCATTCCACTCATTTGCGCAGCTTTCTCTTCTTTCTTCTGACCTCTGAGAACTCTCTGGAAACCTAGCCATTCCACTCGTTCTCTCGTGAGTTTCTTCTCCAGTTCTCTGATTCTGTGAGAGTGTGAGACGCTGAGTTCTCTCGTTCTCTCTGAGTTTCTTCTAGAGACTGAGAGTGATATTGTTCAGTGGAAGTTGAGAGTGTGAGTCTCCGGTGGAAGCTAGGTAATATTGTTCGGTGGAAGCCCTATTCTGGACGACCGGTGTCCGGTGGCCGGTGCGGTGGATTGTAGAGTGCTGTCATTGTCTAACGAATTTGAAGCCCTTTGTTCTCGGGGGTTTGATTTGGAGAAACGAAGTAATCTCTAAACCCTAATCTTAGACTTACTTAGATTATACTCTTATATGTTGTGATACTTTGGTGTTAGTTGTGATTGTATGATTCTGATGACTGTGACACTGTGAATCTGTTGAGAAGTTCCGGATTCTGATGTCACTTGTCCCTTAGTTGTGAATTTTTGATCCTTTGATTAGGGTTTCTATGATTATGTCATTTATGTGGACTGTGACAATGTGAATCTGTTGAGAAGTTCTGGATTCTGATGTCACTTGTCCCTTAGTTGTGAATTTTTGATCATTTGATTAGGGTTTCTATGATTATGTCATTTATGTGGACTGTGACAATGTGAATCTGTTGAGAAGTTCTGGATTCTGATGTCACTTGTCCCTTAGTTGTGAATTTTTGATCCTTTGATTAGGGTTTCTATGATTATGTCATTTATGTGGACTGTGACAATGTGAATCTGTTGAGAAGTTCTGGATTCTGATGTCACTTGTCCCTTAGTTGTGAATTTTTGATCCTTTGATTAGGGTTTCTATGATTATGTCATTTATGTGGACTGTGACAATGTGAATCTGTTGAGAAGTTCTGGATTCTGATGTCACTTGTCCCTTAGTTGTGAATTTTTGATCCTTTGATTTGGGTTTCTATGAGTATGTGGATTGTGATTGTATGATTTGTCTGTATTGTTTGTGGAAGCCCCTAAGTCCCTAACCCAGTAACCCCTGTTGAGTGTTGGCTGTTGGATGTTGCCTGTGTTGGTGAAAATGGTGGATTGGTGGAAACCCCAATTGTAACTACCAACTCTTAAATCCAGTAAAATGATGAGAAAGTGTTCAGGCTAACAGGTTCCTGATTACTGGATTTCTTTGTCACTTTGTGTGATTTATGTGATACTGTGATTGTATCACTGTATGCCTGTATAGATTATAACTTATAAGTTATAAGTTTATGGATGTATGACCCTTAATAGTTAATTCCTTAAAGTCCCAACTATGAAATTTAGAAAAATGATGAAGTTAAGAGGTGCCTGTCTTCTGATTCTGGATTTCTCTATTTCTCTCAGTTGTATGTGACTATTTGAATATCTGTACTTGTTCAATATGTTTCCCACTGAGTAGTGACCACTATACTGATGGTATTCCATTTACTTAGATGGAAAATATCACAGAGTCTGGAAGTCAACCTTCTAAATCTTCAATTGATGGGTCTATAGTGGTGGAAGGCCAAACTGTTAACACAAATAATCAACAGAATGTGCAACCTACTACTGCAGTTCCTGAGAAGAAGAGGAAGATTGTTGAGTCCAGATCTCCAGTGTGGGATCATTATGAAAAAATTAAGGATAGTACTGGTGTTACTATCAAAGGCAAGTGTATATATTGTGCCAAAATATATCAATGTCAGTCTAAAAAGCATGGTACTACCTCCTTGAGAAACCACATGCTTAGCTGTCTGAAAAACCCTCACTCTAAAGACACTAGACAATCACTGTTAACCTTTCAAGCTATTACAAATTCTGATGCATCTCCTGCTACTGTTGGTGAGTTAGGAACTTGGGTCTTTAACCAGGAAGCTATTAGGAGGGCCTTGGTTGAAATGATTATAATTGATGAACTGCCTTTTAGATTTGTGGAGGGTCCAGGGTTTAGGAAGTTCATTCTGGTGGCTTGTCCTAGGTTTAAGATTCCATCTAGATGGACAATTAGTAGGGACATCAATCTGATTTATGAAGAGGAAAGATTGAAGTTGAAATGTGTTTTTAGGGGGAACACTCAAAGAGTCAGTATTACAACTGACACTTGGACTTCTATTCAGAGAATTAACTACATGGTAGTGACTGCCCATTTTATAGATGAAGAGTGGAAGCTTAACAAGAAGATTATCTCATTTGTCCCTATTACATCACATAAGGGTGAGGCTGTAGCAAAAGTCCTTGAAACTTGTTTGCTTGATTGGGGGATTAGGAATGTGTATAGTATAACTGTAGACAATGCTTCATCTAATGACACTGCTATAGGTTTTTTAAAAAAGAAATTGATGTCTTAGGGAACATCTACTGTGAAGGGCAAGTATATTCACATGAGATGTATTGCCCATATTCTGAACCTTGTTGTCCAAGATGGCCTGAAACAATGTGATTCTTCTGTGAAGAGGGTAAGGGAGGCTGTAAGATATGTGAGGAGTTCACCTGCTAGACTTAAGAAATTTAGGGACTTGGCTGAGTGGAATGGGATTGAACAGAAATCATCTTTGTGTCTAGATGTTCCAACCAGATGGAACTCTACATATCTTATGTTACAATCTGCAATTATTTATGAGAAAGTGTTTGAGTCACTTGAAGAAAGTGATACTGCCTACAAATCAGATCTGTCTAATGTTGTTCCTACTTTTCTTGATTGGGAGTCTGTGAAGAGTTTGGTGGAGATCTTGAAATGTTTTTATGATATGACAATAAGAATTTCTGGTTCTTTATATGTCACTTCTAACACTTTCTTTTCTGAAATTTCTGATATAATGCCTCTTGAATGGCATGGTGGAAGCTGGAGGGTCTGTGAAACTGATGGGAGAAAATATGAAGGCTAAATTTGAGAAATATTGGGGGGATATAGATAAAATGAACTTGATGATATTCTTTGCAAACATTCTAGACCCAAGAGACAAGTTAGAGTACATGGCAACACAGATGAATCACATGTATGGTGAGGAAAAAGGTAAACCATACTTTGAGAAAGTGATTGCAGCCTTGAAAGAGTTGTTTAATGATTATGCTGCCTCTACTCCTGTCTCTACTCCTGCCTCTACTCCTGTCAGTACTCCTACTGATTTTTCACAGTCTACAGTTGGGAGGCCCCAACATTTGTTAAAGTCACAGATTAAGAAACAAAGATTGGAGAGTGGGGGAATGAAAAAAACTGAGTTAGAAATTTACCTTGCTGAGGCAATACTTGAAGAAGAAACCTCTTTTGACATACTTAGATGGTGGAA